GTGTTGTCTAACTGAGTTTTCTTGTATCTCATTTAGTTTCCTTAGAATTGTTACTCTAAATTCCTTGTCAGTCATTTCAAAGACTTCCTGTTCTATAGGATCTAGAGCTTGAGTTATTATTTTCTTTTGGTGGTGATGTACTTTCTTGATTTTTCATAGTTCTGGTATCTTTCCTTTGGTGTTTTGTCATTGTGGTGGGGGGTATCACAGTCCACTCGTTTGACCCAGATGGCTGGCTTGGATCCTGAATGGACTGCCGATTCTGGGCAGCAGGAACTAGCCTGGGCTGTGGGTCCCACAGCACCTGCTTGTTCTGGGACAGCTGGCTCAGGGTGTTGAGGCCCAGAGGCTTTTAAGTCTCTCCTTGCAGCAGGGACAAGCCTCTCCTGGAGGTCCCACCCCACCTGCCTTCTTCCAGCATGACTGGCTCGGGTCATGGGGACCCCAAGGCTCTTAAGTCTCTTCCAGCAGTGGGGACTGGCCTGTGTGGCAATCCTACCCTGCCTGCCTTCTCTGGTACAGCTGGCTTGGGGCATGGGGGCCCCAAAGCTCTTAAGTCTCTCCCAGTGGCGGGGACTGGCCTGGGCTGGTGGTCCCACGCCACCTCAGAGTGTGGGGGCCCAGAAGTTCTAAAGTCTCTCTAAGCGGTTGGTGGGGAGCAACCTGGACTGGGGTCCCGCAGGATGCAGTTCTTGCCAGTTCTGGCGGAGATCTCGACCCTCCTGTAGTTGCTCCTTAATAGTTGCAAATTGGTTGCTCTGTGGGAGCGAGCAACACCAGGAACCAACTACTCTGCCATCTTGACCAGAACTCCCTTTGAAACTTATAATATGAAGTTTTTAATATGAGATGAAGATATAACATTTTTTCACCAAAAATGTATGACTATTTTTTTAAATTATGGAAATGTTTTAATGTGGGAACTTTCAAGCATACACAAAATAGAATAATAAAATGAATTCCTGTATGCACATCACCGAGTTTCTAAAATCAAACTACCAAATCCATAGCCACTCTTGTGTCATCTATACTCTTACTCACTTTCCTCTGCCCAGATTTATTTTTCTCTTTCTTACAATGAAGTGTGTAAGTCTTAAGAGCACAGCTCAGTTTTTACACAGGTGAAGACATACCAAAGTTACCACCAGATCCAGATACCCCAGCAGGTTCCCTCATGGGCCCTTCTGTCAGTACTCACCCATCTAACAGGTAAACACTATTTTAATCCCATCTGCATAAGTAATTATGTCTATGCTTTGTTTTCAGATAACGGAATAACAGAATATAACTTCTTTAATATCTGAATTCTTTGTTAAGCATTATGTCTGTTAGACTCATCCACTATTGCTTACTCATATACTTCATTATTTCTCATTGCCGCATCTATTCCATTATATGAATGCATCACAGTTTATTTATACAATCTCATGTTGGTGGACATTTGAGTTGTTTTCAGTGTTTTGATCTGATTAAAACTTCTATGAATATTCTTGTACACATGTTTTGATCATAAGCACTCACCTACTGGGTAATGTAGCCAGGATTACATGGCATAGGATGTATGTACGTCCTACTTTAAAAGATACTGCTAAATAATGGTTGCACCAATTTACATCCCCACCAGTATCATATGAAGGTTTCAGTTGCTTTATATACTCATCAATACTTGACATCGTCAGTCTTTTTAATTTTAGCCATTCTGGGGGTTTCTGGATCAAGATGGTGGAATATACAGTGCTGAGTGTCACTCTCTCCCACAATCAACAAATTTACAACTATTAAAAAAGTAATGAATGCCAAGCTGGGGCTGCTAGAGCTCAAGGGAAGAGGAAGAAAGAACTATGGAGTTCATGAAGGTGGGAGAAGCTGCAATGAGAGAAAGAAGGGACTACTCTGTTTTGCACCACAGCCATTTCAAAGCTGGCCCTAGTGAGCACATGGAACAAGAGCTGGCAAAACACGCAGTTTTGCCCTTTGTGTGAAGTTGCTTGGAGACTGCAGGGGGGAAGAGGGTCTTCGTGGACCCCAGGCCAGCAAGACCACTGACAGGGTTCCTGTGGATCCACTCAGAAACAAGGGGCCACAGACAATGGAAAAAAAGAGCCGCTCAAAGGCTGGTGAGTCATTGCAATGGACCACTGCGTAGCCCATCCCATGGGAAGTGTTTGGAGTGCAGAGGGTGGGGAAGACAGGCCCACTGGGGGAACAATGGAGCACAGCATGAACAGCTGATCTGCCCTCCAATCAGCACAGGCCCACTCTGTGGAGACTGGTCAGGAATATAGAACTGCAGGGCATGCAGTTCGCTGAAAAGACTGAGGCCCAGGCCAGAGTTTCCAAACAACCCAGGTGTACCAGAACTCACAAAACCTGGAAGTGCTTTCAAGGTCAACAATTAAAACCTGAGCTGCACAAAAAACTTTTCTCAGAGAAGCAAAAGCAAAAAAGCAATTTAGCTCATGTAAACCACAGGGCTCAAGTGCTGGTTCTCTTATGAAGTTCCCCTATTTTAGAAGTAACTGAAGGACAACAAATTAGTTCCAGTGCAGAGTTTAAGTTGGTGGGAACAGTGAGTAATCCAACAAAGAACTGAAAGAAAAAACAACCCCACAGATCGGAGACAAAGTTCAAATATTAACCAGTAAAGGTCTCACTTCACCAAAGAACACCTATAAATCCTAGAAGGACCAGAAGTCCCCTGGGTTCCCAAGCTGGGGTGGGGTGGGTGTGAGGGCCTCAACCATGCCCCTGTCTCCCCACCCTCTGCCAGCCCCACCTCCCACCTCCACCTCTGTTTCCCTACCCGCCTCACACCTGCCCCTCCCACTGCTCCACAACATCTTTGAATATAAAAAACAAAAATGAATAAATAAATTAAAAAAAAAACCTAAATGGACAAAGACCACGAAAAAGCAACTGAAAGAAAAAAATAATACAAGTTTAGGGGATGGGAGAGAGAGTGAGAGAGAATGTGTTAAGCTTTATAACTAATAAAGATACTGCGATTTAAAATAATGTGATTTTTTGACCATCCATTTAGGAAAACCTTAAATGGTTGGTAATATTTAGTTGAAGTGAAAGTATAGAGGAATGATTACTTTTATGTATTGTTGGTTGGAATGGAAATAGGTATGGTGTTTTTGAAAGTCAATTTAGTAGTATACAATAAATTTTTTTTTTTTTTCTGACTGGTAAGGGGATCGCAACCCTGGGCATGGTGTTGCCCACACCACGCTCAGCCAGTGAGTGCACCTGGCCATCCCTATATATGACCTGAACAGCGGCCTTGGCGCTAACAGTGCTGCACTCTCCCCAGGGAGCCATGCGGGCGGCCCTACAATAAAATTTTAAACACACGTGACCTTTGACTCAGCAATTTATTTTTAAAGGCATATATTAGAACTGCTGGAAGATGTGCATAAAAACATCTTTATGATGATGCTTACTGAAGCAGTGCTAGTGATAGTAAAATGCTAGGAACAACCCAACTGTCATTCATAGATGAATATAAGCAAATCATGAAACATCCGCATAATGGAATAGTGTGCAGTTGATTGCAACATTACTTAATTAGTTGTGCAACATTACGCAAGTACTGTTCGGGTCTTCTCTAAAAGAATTCTTAAAAATTAATTTCCAAGGTAACATGAGGGATATCTTTAAGTACAAACTAAAGATATAAAATTACCTTAAGTGAGAAAAATCAGATTATAGAATTACATGTTTATTACTGTCTTTAAGAAAACAAACAAGCTCGATATGTGTTTAGTTTCTTTCTCTCTTTGAATATATAGAAAAGACTATAAAAATACATATCAAACTGTTAACAGTGGTTACCACTGGAGCTTAGATTAAGATAAAGGAATGTTAAACAGTACTTTCATTTTTTTTTTGTTTAACTCTACAAGATTCTGCTTTGTTTTATTTATGTTTCAACAAGATTATGTTCCTCAGTTATTTATTTTATTTCATAAAATAAAAATAATGTTAGAAAAAGAAAAAAAAATTAGCTATTCTGGTACATGTGCAGTGTTACCTCATTGCAGTTTTAATTTGCATTTCCCTGAAAAATAATAAATTTGAACATAATTGCATATATTTTCTTTTATGAAGTATCTGCTTAAGTCATTTGCCCATTTTGGAAATGGGGTATCTGTTTTTTCCATATTAACTGTTAACTTTTTCTTAATTAATTACTTTCTTATTAATTGGTAAGAGTTTTTATATTTTGAATATGAGTCCTTTTTTTGGTGGTATGTATTACACTTCCTCTCACTTTTCGCTCTCTTAATGGTGCCTTTTGATGACTAAAAAATCTTAATTTTAATGGAATCTAACTCATCAAGAGTCAGTGCCACTTTCTACAAAAGTCTCATGGAATGGAGAGAGGTGAGCAAGATGTTGATGAGGATACCTGCGTTTCTTGAAACTCCCTTGAACAAGTTATCATGTTCCTCCTACTAAAGCATGTAAGCATCAGAGTAAAGAAGGAAGAAAGGGGAGAGAAAAGAAAGGAAAGCAAATTTTTTTAGATCAGACTTTTGCCCCTTGCCTTAGCCCTGGCCTGGAATTTTCAGATTAGCTATGAGTGGTTCTCAGAGCACACTGATGTAACATCCACTATACAGTTAGTTTTAGAGAAGTTCAATTTTTGAAAGACTATTATAGAGGGAAAAGGAAGGCAGGCACTCTATAAAGTTAATCTAATCTATAGTTTTGTTAGTGCTGCTTAAATTGTTTGGCAGGAATATCAGTGTATGTTATGGTTGAAAAGAATTCTGTGTGTGTGTGTGTGTGAATGGTGAAAGCAATCATTTTCAAGTATGTTTGCCAAGTTCTACAAAAAAGAAATGACTCGTTAACACTGAATTATAATTTATTGTTATCCTATGAGAAGGCAAAACAAAAAAATGGCCTTAAAAATGTTTTACTAGGTTTCTCTAAATATTCTCTATACCTTGATTTGCATAAGTTACACATTTAACTAGTCTTGAAAATACCTTTAATTTGGCTTTTTTTTGAGCCTCCAGAGCAATCTTTCTTAAGTCCTCAGTCTCTTTCCGTAACTGTTCATTTTCTTGCTGAAGTTCCAGCCTCTGTTCACTGACAAATCCACAGTTCTCCCTCTCAGACTCCAATATATTTTGAAGTTTTTGAATCATTTCTTGGGAACGTGATATCTCTTCTGAGGAACTGGTTGAAAAACAAACAAAATTTTAAAAAAGAATCCTTAAACCTAATAACTTGTAGTAGAATAAAGAAGTTTTTCTACATTTTATAGTACAGACTTTTGTTTTCTTTATTCTTAGCCATTTCTTTTTACTTTAGACTTAAACTATGTGGTTTCAAGATGTTCTATTATACTAGGCAAATAAATCCAACTTGATGATCTTAACGAAGAATAGATAAACTGAACTGTTATCACTCATCTAAAAAATCAATGTGAAACTTCTTTCAAATTTTTACTAACATTGAGAATCATTGTGTAAGGAAGACTTCAACGCAACAGACTGAAGCTAACAGTAAAAAAGATGAAGTAGGTAAACTCTACTTCATCAATAAACTCCATAGGAAAACACAATAGCTATTAGTAATAATAAGATCTACTTTCATATTTTCCTTTTATATGACTTAGGAATGGTTTTTATACATTTCTAATTTCATTACAGGTAAAACAGGTTATGTTTCTTGAACTTTCTCAACAATGGATTATTGGGTGAGACAACCTATAAATGTGTGTTGGTTCAATCAATATACTGCTAATTTTTATTACCATCTTTTAAAATTTCTGTATTTTCAATCCCAGATAATCAATCACTGTAAACATATACTGGTTAATAGGTTTCACAATAAATACATAAATGCTACTAATATTGTGATGGCTTAAGAAAACTACTGGTCAAAAGTATCTTGCAAGGAGACAAATTCTTAAAATAAGCGAACAACTTTCACATGGTAGCAGTTTTACCACCATGAACCACGCCTTTATGGTCCTATTTTGGCAGTCTGATTTGCCAATATTTGCCAATGTGTTAGGTGGTTGTGGTTACTGATTTTCTCTGACTTCTACCTCTGTTCTTCTAGATTTTTGCTTTCCCAGCTCCTCCCATATTCTTGTAAATTCTAATTCCTACATTAAGTCCTTTATTTCCATAATAGTTGTAGCTCTTTTTTTCCTGTGTAAGTCTTGGCTGAGCAAGCTCCCAATGAAATGATAGTGATGTATCACAGTGATGATAATAGGACACTAACATCACAAAGTGTCTAAGACCAGAAACAACCACACATTATGTGCCTCCTAACAGAACTCCATAATATCTCCATCTATAAAGAATTCTAACAAAAAAATGAGAGCTAGACCAGATCAAGCCTCTTGGTCTGATTACTAGTTTTTGGGAACTACATGGGACAGGGAAACAAAGTAAATGACATCACATACATGCATGTAGTAGAGGAAACTCTATAATACAAAGAACTCAGTTTTTTCAAAAAATTATTTGTAAGAAAAAAATAGAGAAAGGGGGGATAACTACAGTTTAAAGAAGACTTAAGAAACATAGCACTCCTAGCATTCCTGAAACCAGAAGTGCACAGGACAACTCACACTTAAGAGAAACCCTTTGAATGAAATGCCTGTAAGAAAACATTCATCTAGTATACCTTAAAGCACATATGCAAACTTATACAGAAGAAAAACCCTAAACCTGAGAAGAATGTGGGAAAGGCTTCACTAATTCCTCATGTCTTTATGAACATATATGAATCTGTACTGGAGAGAAGTACTCTGTTTATAAGGAATGTATGGTAGCTTTTAGTCATTCCCATTTCCATAGTAAAGGAAAATAACTCACATTGGAAAGAATCCCTGTAAATGTAAAGAAGTGGGCTAATCTTCATCTTTTACTGAATATTTAAAATTTATCCTGGAGAAAAGCTTCTGGAATGTAAATCATGGGAAAGATCATGGGAAAGCCTTTCACCCAGTCTTCACACCATATTCAATATGTAAAAATGCATGCTAGGAAAGAAGACTTATGAATGTAAGGGTTGTGAGAAAGCCTTTAAATCATCCTTATGCCTTACATAACATGATTCACATTGGAGAGAACCCACATGAAAGTAAGAAAAGTGCAAAAGCCTTTAAATATTCTTCACCTCTTACTCAATATGTAAGAACTCACACAGGAAAGAATAATTATGATGTAATGAATGGGGGGAAGTCTTTACAAATTTCATATTACCTAATATTTACACTGGAGAAAAGCCTATGAATGTCAAGAATGTAGGAAAGACTTTAGATATTCTATACACCTTAATAAACAGGAATAAACTCAGAGTAGAGGGAAGCCATATGCATCTATGTAAGAAATACAAAAAAGCTATAGGTAGCCCTCAAGTCTTAGTATTCATATGTAAACTCACACTAGAGAAAAAGTCTATAAATTTAAGAAATGTGGATCAGGCTTCAGCTGTTACTTATCTTTTAGGAAGGAAATTGGAACCCGTACTGGAAAGAAACTCTATTAATGTAAGGAAGTAGAACAGCCTTCAATTGTTATAATTCTCTAAGAAACAAGTGAGAACCCACAGCAGAGAGAAAAACCATATTATTATAAAGAATGTGGGAACACCTTTAGTTTTTCCTTATATCTTAAAATTCATGATTGAACTTGCAATGGAGTAAAACCTTATAAATGTAGGAAATGTGGGAAAGTGTTTATTTCCTCCTCATCCCTGATGAAAAATATAAATACACAACTAAACCGAAACCCATGAATGTAAGGAATGTGGGACAGCCTTCAGTTTTCCTTGGATGGTTTAGAGACATATGTAAATTTATATTGTAGAGAAACAAAAATAAAAGCAGTAGGGAAGTTTTCTGTGCCTGAATCCTTTTGGTAACATGAGAATTCACCCTGGAGAAAGATTTTATGAATATAAGGAATGTAAAGAAGATTTCACTCATTTCTCTTTTTATTGTATACAGAAAAACTCATACTTAAGAGGGAACATGTGAACTAAAACAAATGCAGGAATGCTTTTACTCAATACTCCTCCCTAAAGAGACACATGGGTACACACTTGGGAGAGAAACCCTATGACTGTGGTATTGGGAGAAGCCTTCACGTATGACCCTTTGCTTACTATGCAGAAGAAATTTCATACTGGAATAAACCAGCTTCTGCATGCTGGCTTTAGAAGTAACCACATGAACAGATTATTTAAATTGATTATTGAAAAGTATACACAGATTTATGAAATTAATCTACAGGATATCCTTTAAAAAAAAACTTCATTAAGGGCTGGCCCAGTGGCGCACTGGAGAAGTGCGCCGCTTGGGAGCACGGCGGCACTCCCAACGAGGGTTCGGATCCCATGTGGAGACCGGTTCCCGCTCATTGGCTGAGTGCAGTGCAGGCCAACACCGAGGGTTGCGATCCCGTTGCCGGTCCCTGGTACGGGCGCGACACCGAGGGTTGCGATCCCGTTACCGGTCAGTAAAAAAGACAAAAAGGAAAAAAAAAACTTCATTAAATAATTTAGTAATATATTAGTATATATTTTAAAGAAATAAAATTGTCTTTAACACACTGGGGGGAAAAGGTAGAAAAATATTCAGAATGGATATGCCATATTATGTTTGTCATTTTTAGAGATAATGTAGTAAATAAACATGATGGATCATTACAGAGTATTCAATACCACAAGAAATATACTAAGCATAAACAGTATAAAAAGCAATAATTATAAGCAGGCTACTATAATAACTGCATGGTTAGTATGAAAAAAACAATCTCAAGAACCTCCTATTTAACTGCCAGAAAGCATGTTTAAAAATAAAGTGGCATACTGCTGTTATACCTTCTCTTCCCAAAATTAATTTTCAGAAATAATCTTGAAAAAAAATTATATTTGGTTCTAAAAATTTTTTTTCAACATAAGATATGTTGAGCAAAAAAAAAAAAAAAAAGGTAGAATATCTGTTTGTGAGTTATCACAGAAAATCCAAAAAAAAAAAAAAAAAAAAACTTACTTAATTTCAAGTTGTTTTATTGTATTTTCTGCTTTCTTAAGTCTTAGCTGAAGATCATCTTTTGAACGCTCTGCAGCTAGGCATCTTTGGTGCATTTCTTCCAGTTTTCTGTAATCATTTTCATTTCCTCTGCCATCATGGTAAATCTGCAGAAGAGCCTTATTTGTAT